TCTCCCTTATCCAATGTAGAACTTTCACATGCATATGAGGCAATTGGAAAGACCACCGCATGGGCCGGGCATCCTTCAGTCCCCAAAGTAACACCCCTGCCTGTCAACACTCCAAAGAGGCCTGCTCAGCAGACTTACCCAGTGCCGTGCATCTTCTGATCGCTTGACTGCTGCTTCCATGAGAATGATCACTCTAAACCAGACGAAATCTTGGACAACTTCATTGTTTCCTCCACTCATCATGATGTTACCTATCGGTCCAGTTGTGGAGATTTGGGTCTTGTTTACATTAAGTCATAATCCATGTTGAAGGCTGCAATCCTGCATCAGTACATGCTTCAAGTCCTCCTCACTTTCAGCAAGCAGGTTTGTGTCATTTGCATATCTCAGGTTGTTAATAAGCCTTGCTCCAGTCCTGAAGTCACATTCTTGTTCAGATAATCCAGCTTCTCTGATGATTTGATCAGCAGACAGATTGAATAAGTCGGTGATACTACCCCGGGACACACTTTTCTTGATTTAAAACATGCAATACACTCTTGTTCTGTTTGCACAAGTGCAGACATGTACAAGTTCCTCATGAACACAATGAAGTGTTTTGGAATTCACATTCTTCTCAAGGTTACCCATAGTTTGTTATGGGCTGCACAGTCCAATGCCTTTGCATAAGCAGTAAAATACAAGTTACCCTATGAACTTTTTATTCAGCTTATTGTCATCCTTTTTTCTATTTGCCTAAGAGGGGGTACCCCCCCCAAAAAACCCAAAATACTAATTTGTTTTCTTGATGTGAGGGGAATAGTGCATTTGGAGTTTGTTCCACCAGGTCAGACTGTTAATCAAGCTTTCTATTTATGGGTTCTGAAGAGACTGCATAGCAGTGCGACAAAAAGGCCTGATTTGTGGCAGACGGGGGCTGACTGGTTGTGCCACCACGACAGTGCTCATGCAGCCATCTCGGCGCGCCAGTTTTCGGCAAAAACCAGCATGCCTCTCTTGCCCCAAGTACCTTACTCACCTGACCTCGCTCCATGAGACTTCTTTTTATTTACGTGAATGGAAAGGGACAAGAAAGGACAGCGATTTGATGACACAGAAGAGGTGAAGAAAAAACAAGGGAGGTGCTCTCAGTCATCCAAACAGATGAGTTTGAAAAACGTCTCCAAGAATGAAATCACAGATTGGACAAATGTATTAAGTGTCATGGAGAGCACTTTGAAGGTGATAAGATTGTTATACATAAAAATTTAAGTATAAGCTTTGAAAAAAAAAAATCAATTTTGGGGAGGGTGCCCCCTTTCCACCCCGTAAACGATGAAGAGCAAATTCAAGAGTTTCTTATAACATTCCTTTTGAGCTTCTTTCATGACTTTGGCTCTCCTCATGATGTTGTTGATGCCCTCCCACAGCCCATGCAGTGTGCTGTCATTAGTGTTTAATGCATTGAACCTGTTCTTGACATGCTCTCAAAACTCAGGTGAGATAGACTCAAGGTCATACTTGGGTCTTGTTTTCATTTTCTTCACCTTCAACTTGAACTTACATATGAGCAACCTTGCTGAATTCAGGTATTCTAATAATTTTTTTCCAGTAGATTCCCTAGTATATTTTCTATATACTAGTCATCCATGACTGTTATGTGTGACCCCTGAGGTGTCTGCTGCTTAGCATAACGTTGGGTAATAATTGGACAGAGATTTCCATAAACGCTTAAAACCAGTCAAGGTTCTCCTGGCCTTTGTCAAGGATTCTGGAGTTTACTTTTAATGAGTGCCCTGGCAGGCAGTTTGCAATTTTCTTCGCTTCACCTTTTCTTCACTTGTTCTGCAGAGCTTGTAAGCCAGCTGGAGGTGAGGTGTTCGGGCCTTCTCGGGTGATTTCATGGGCACACAGAGCCCTGAACATGCACATATCCTTCTAGAGTCCCAAGAATATTATGGAACTTTTCAAAACCCGTTATGCATATTTTATTACTTAGGTGTTCATTTTTAAAAAGCTTCTGGTCAGGTTCATGTTGGACGCACTTGCCATCCAAGTTAAACAGTTGCCACTTATTATTTCACTAACTTGACCGGGGATACCAAGTACTGAATGAACTCTAGGCCACGTGGAATAGAAATGAACGTTTGAGAAGGAGGTTTTCCAGGGAAGTGCCAGATAAGCTACCCAACGGCAGGATTCTGAGGATGGTCTTTTTGGCTGCTGGTGTCACCACGAGCATGGAGCTGTTTGTGTCCGTGCTACCGCACAGATCAACAGATCCCTGGAGCCTTGCTGAGGGACAGGGAGAGCAAGGCTACAAGTGAACCAAGTCGATTAGCAAAGTGGGCGGCAGAGCATCCGAGTGAGAAAATTGGCCATGGCTGGCTTTCAAAATGGAAAGGAGTCTGTATATTCCCTACAGCAAAGAAATTAAACAACAACAACAAAAGTAGATGTGACACACATCAAAGCATGCAGCCAGCCTCTAGAACAGCGGTTCTCAACCTGTGGGTCGAATGACCCTTTCACAGGAGCCACCTAAGACCATCAAAAAACACATTTCCAATGGTCTTAGGAACCAAGACACCACTCATGCAGATAAGCCCACATATAAGTACCCAGCATTAAGACTGTTACCCATGCTACACCATGCTTCAAGACAAAATTTCATTTATTTGTAATTAGAAATAAATATTTCACAAATATATATATATACTGTTTTTGTAATTAATCACTATGCTTTAATTATGTTCAATTTGTAACAATGAAAATACATCCTGCATATCAGATATTTGCATGACGATCCATCACAGTAGCAAAATTAGTTCTGAAGTAGCATTCGGAAGGTTGAGAACCACCGCTTCAATCTTGGGAAACCCTCCAGGATGGCATGCAGCCCAGCCCACTTCCTTTTAACCCAAGAAAAGTATTTGGGGACTTAGACCCTTCAGAGCTTAATAATCTTTTTAAAGTTTTATTAGGACTTAACTCATATATAATTCAATAGTTCAATCACATCAAGAAGAGTTGTGATCACCCAATCAATTTAAAACATGTTCTTTGTGGTACTACTGATGAGTTCCCCAGTTCCCCTCGCCTCCTCTGCCCCCCAAACCAGTCATCCAGTTACTGTCTGCATAGATTCACCCATCTGGATTTCGTATACCCCAAACATACAAAGACACAAAAAGCTAACAGTAGTGCAAAATAAAGCCCTCAATCAAAAGCAAGCAGGAAATATTAAAAACTAGAACTTTAAAATGGGTCAATAGGGAGATCAAATGGTAAGGTGTTAGATTTTAACCTAGCTACATCCTGCTATAGTCCACTTTCCAGTGTATTCATGACAGCAAGACCAGTCACCAGAACTATAATGTGCTTGATTTATGCGGCCAAGCTTGTGGTAGTTCGTTACAGCAGCAATACAGAACTCGTTCTGGTCTAAGTAAAATTATTCCTACGAAACCAGGAAACTTTGAGCCGTAAAATGTGAACATATCCATCTAGGTCAGCACAGGTCTGAAGGTTAGCATTGTCTTGAACCTTTCTCTGAAGAATTCCACATATTTAAATGCACATGTCAAAGGAGTTTTGGCCTTCACAGGGGACTCAAATCATGTTCCTTTCTATGTCACTGGAACAAAAAGATGTCTAAAGGGATAGATTCGAATTACAAGGTGGAGTACACAGCTTCCCAGCAACATTCTCTTAAGATAGCTCTTGCTACCTTTGAAAGAAAAGGGGCATTGTCAAAATGGAATAAATTCCTCAGCTTTTTTTCTGAGCTTTTGGTCACCAATGTAATGTCCATTTTCTTAAGCTTCCAAAGCCCATGCTTGCCATGTCCTTTGAGAAAATACATCCAGTCTATTCCTCTGGAGTCCCCCAGAGTGACCATACCTTCTGAGCCTTGAACTTAACTGGCCCAGCAGATGCCCTTAAAATCCAGTTTGAGTGGCAAAACAGGGAGGGTAAAGGGAGAATGGGTAGGAAAGAGGGAACCAATTACACGGAACTGTGTGTGACCTCCTCCCTGGGGGACAGACAACCGAAAAGTGGGTGAAGGGAGACGTCAGACAGGGCAAGATATGACAAAATACCCATTTATAAACTGTCAGGGGCTCATGCGGGAGGGGGGAGCAGGGAGGGAGGGAAACAATGAGGACCTAATGTCGGGGGTTTAAATGGAGAGAAAATGTTTTGAGAAACGATGTACAAATGCACTTTACACAATTGATGTGTGTATGGATTGGGATAACAGTTGTATCAGCCCCTAATAAAATGTTAAAAAAAAAATCCAGTCTTGATTGGACTATTTTTTACAAGACATCCTAATGAGACTTAGACAAATATACTACTGAGAGGACTTTATGGAGCCATCCACTGATAGCAGAAAGGTATGCGTGTGCTGTCTTGGGATAGTTCTCTTATGAACTGAAATCCCAGTAGCAATTCTTCAGTTTATCTTCCACAGCAGCATCTTAGGAAATATCAGAGGTTGTATTCTTTGTGCCTTCGTTACGAGACCCAGAGAAACCAGCTCGTTTTCACTTCCTGCTCACAGTGGCCTTGTGGAACAGAGTAGAAAGTCTACTGCAGTGCTTACAAAGCTGTACACCTTCTGAGAAAGGATGTCACGTCTCTCTCCCACAGACAGAATAGCTGGTGGGCTTGTACTGCCAGGCCTTCAGTTAGCAGCTAAGTGCTTCCGCGCGGTGCCTCCAGGGCTCCTGTGTGAAACACAATAGGCCTGACACGGAGAAACCAAATACTAGTGGCATCGACACACTTCAACATGTAGCTTAACCCTCAGAAGTTAAGGTTGTTAAAGTGAATTCTTCTGGGAGGCCACAAGAGGAGGATAGGAGGCTGCTAGATGCTTTCCATTCTAATACCTTACATATAATTTGTGTCCTTAAATATTACTGTGATGAGTTTTTCAGTTATGACATACATCATTTTATTTCCTTTAAAGAGTATGGGACGCCAAGAAACATATTTTTGTGAGGATACAACCATTTCTTTCATCATGTTTATTCCCAGTCTAGAATTCTGCTTCAGTATGTATAAAATGTAACTAGATTTACAGAAATTATTTCCTTACATGAAGGTATATTTAACAAAAGTTATTTACAAAATTACAATTACAAACAGAAACACCAGGACAATTTTCCTGAAACAAAAGCAAATAAATAAGCCTTCACTTTCAAAGAAAGGTTTTTATCTGACATTGTCATCACTGCTGTGTTTTAATGCCTTTCTAGAGTTCCATGTTGACTATGTACAAGAAACCATTTCCTCAAGTCTGCGCGCAGTGCTGCCAGCACACCTGGCACGGAGCAGGGGAAGCAAGCAGTGACCCGAGTAGATGTGCTGTTCCCTCAATAGGAAATGCTGATTACTCCTCACCAGTGCTTACCTGGATTAAGATTTTCACTTAGAAAAACACCACAAAGTCCCCTATGATCTTAGTAGGTTGTAAGACTTCCCAGTAGCCATTAACTGGCTATCCCTAGCGGTTTACAGCTGATAGCCCTCTGCTATTTAAGGAACAGTTCCACAGAATTTATTTCTGTGCAATGTTTGTCTTTTATGTTAATTTTAATCAGAATCACTACTACTGCTTGAGGAGTCTGTTGACATGACCTCGACGTCATCTTCATTTTCTTTATTGTGCCCAGGCGGTTCCAACAAGAAATCAGTGCTGTGGTTTGGCGGCGGCATATTCATGGACAGCTCACTGGACTGCCAGGGGTACTGAGGAGCAAGGACGTCTACAGAGAACAAAGATGTGCATGAGAACCTTTCTGATCCACGCAAATAATTTGAAATCAACAGTTTTTAAGGCTTGACATCAAAATACACAGTTGGAAAAAATAATACAGATCAAATTAAGTAAAAGTGTGATGTTGTAGGTACTGAGTAGACGCTATCAGTTTCTTCTCATCATTACAGTTTTCTCTTGTAAGCTGTTCAATTGCTAATCAAATGTGTCAAGTACTGGCATATATATTATCTTCACATATATTAGGTCATTTTATGTTAGCTTTTAAGTAGATAATATCTGTCATGATGATCATCAACTATCAGATTTGAATAATTTCTTAAAAGATAAGAGGAATTGCTATCGTAAATGATTTTGACTTAAAAAAAGTTGATTAGCAGTGCATCGACATGTCCTAGAAAGAAGCACCCAAGACACAGTAAGCGCCCACATTTTGGAAGAAAGGCAGGAGGGTGCATGAACATGTAGTTCACGTCTAAAAGAAGGAAGATTTCAAAAACACCAAGAGAAATCCGTATGGTACTAACTAGGTCACGTGTGCCAGTTCCCAAGCCTGTAGGCTTCAAATTCACCCCTGCCCCTGCTGTGAGGTAGCAGAACCAGACCCTGAAAGCATGCTCCTTTGCCAGAGACTGGGCGGTGTTAACTTTATGTCAGTCAAAGAGGTAATCTGCATAGGGAATGCATTGCTTTTACTGGTTCCAGTGTGCAGGACTACCAAGTGGTGCTTCTACGACCCCTCCCTGCACCCCCACCCTAGAGTTTCTGTGGCAGTGTCGGGGAGACTTCTTGTAAGCTTCTCAAGCACCCCAGAAAGGCAGTTTCCCATAAAACGACCCCAGGAGGTAGTTTTCTGCTTGCTAGCCCTGGCCTGTGGTAGATTATCTTACCCGTCATTCAGGGAACCTCAGCATGGGCGCTCACTGAAATCCGAGTGTCAGCTTTGGGGAGGGGTAGGAAGGAGACTCTTAAATCTGTCCCTTCCTTGGGATCTCTGCCTTATAGATGTAGAGGCTACACCACAATCTGCTGTTCTTATAGCAGTAGTTAATAGCTTACTACCAGTTAGGAATTCTTTACATTTTCCTTGTTCAGACAACTGGTGTGGCTCTATCTCCTTACTGGGCCATACATATAATGTAATATAATCAAAGAAAAGGATGGGGAAGATCATCTGAACTAATAAAAATTCTGCCTTGAGCCTCATGTTCTTTGAAGAACTATACGGGACCAACATGACGATTTGAATGACAGCTTGAATGATTAGATAAAAACCCATTATCATTCTACTTCACCCCAAAATTTAAAAATTTGGGTCTGTTCTAATTTCACTTCATTGATTTTTAAATAGTTATAAAGTCTCAGAATCCCTTAGGGGGTGGCTATGAGTCAGCACTGACTCGATGGCAGTGAGTTTGGAGTTTTTAGATGGAAAACTAGGAAGATTAAAGCTCACACAAAAAAATTCTACTTTGTAAATCATTTTAAAGTCTTTAAAAAGCTATTTTAGAGGGAGATAGAAGAAGATGGCATCCAGTTAGATTTACCTGCCTAGAGCTCCTGCTGCCAAAACAGAAAATTAGAAGGTACGGTGAAGGAGACTGGGAGGGGGAGTCATACAATTAGATTCAGGGTACTAGGGTCTGTCCTGAACCCTGCTTTTTAAAAATTTTCACTCACAAAGCAAACTGAAAATGCACTGAAATACTCTCAAGTTCGTGGGACTGGGCTTGTGGGCTCCAGACAAAGCAGCTACCAGCGCCCTAGTCCAGCAGTGAGTGGCGATTTCCCGAGGCTGACGTCCAAAAGGGGTCATACTCCCAGACTCCAGGAGAACCCCTGAAAGCTAGGCACAGGACCCCACATCAGAGCTCCCTACGCTATAGCCCAGGGGGACAGGGTTGGTGCGGGTAACCAGAGATTTGGGGGTCAGTGTGACAGCCCCGAAATCAGGGCACCCCATAAGTCCCATATAAAAAAGAAAAAATATTTTCTCTGTATGGGGGCTCATTGTTTAACTCCAAGACAAACTGGTAGAACAAGTCTTTTGACATACATTAGCATAATAAGGGAGCCAATGTGAAGGAATGCCAGAGGTTCCTACGGCGCCCAGAGGTTTTCAACATAACAAAGACCATCTGGAGCAAGCCTGTTTCAGTGTACCTCACTGAGTACATACCCAGAGCCGGGGGCCAATTTAATTCAATTCCAGTGGGCCAGGGGGAAAGCAAACAAACTGAGCTATAGGGGTATCAGCGGTCTTGGCACAAGCTAGGGCAACTCCACAAGCCAAACCAGGGTGGGGGGCTGGGGGAAGGCGCTACTGTCTACCCTCAGTGACCCTACACTCAGCTGGGGATCCCCCGCCTGTAGGGAGGGAACTCCCCGCCTCTGCTGCAGTGCAGCATACGGCACAAGGCCGCTATACCAGTGGTTTCCAGCACTCAACACGGCTTCAATCTTGCCTTCAAGGGTCATTCCACCCAGCATCTGTGGGACCCTACACCAAGCAGGCAACCCACCCCACTACCTTCAGGCAGGGTTGGAACTCCTCCAGCCCCACGGTCAGGCAATAGATCAGGCCTCAGCTATCGCCTTACTATTCTTCTTCTTCTCCGGCCCTTCTAGCTTTCCCACTGCAGTCGGTCTCAGCGTGCCCAGTTCTGTTTTGTTTTTTTCTCTTTTTCCTCTTCTCTCCCTCTTTCCTTCCACTCGCCACTCCTGACTTCTGGGCCACTACCCTCCAAATAGGGTAGCCCCGCCCAAACAGCAGGGGGAACTCCAGCCTGCCCTCGGTGGGCATGCTGCACACCACACAAGGCAGCTGCGACAGCCCTCTGCAGCGCTCCAGCTGCTCAAGAAACCTTCGTCTGGCCTCTACAGTGATCTTACCAAGTAGGGCAATTCTGCCCTGTACTGGTGGGGCCTACAACAACCTGCTACCAGGGGGCAGGGCTTAAACCCCTCCGGCCCCACGTTCAAGCAATAAAGGATCACCTATCTCTTTACTCTTTATTTTTTTCTTCTTTTTCTACAACAGTCAATCTTAGCAAGCACAGTCGTGGGCTTTCCCCCCTTTTCATTCTTTTCTCTCTCTTTTCTTTTGTTTCTCTCCCCTCCCTCTTTCCTTCCACATACCACTGCTGGGTTCCAGCCCACTACCCTCTTTGCCTAGGGCACCTTCACCCACGCAGTGGAGAGAGCTCCAGCCCGCCTCCTATGGCAGTGCTGTACATGACATGAGGCAGTGCTACGCATGCATGGCATGGGGCTCAGTAATCTCTTTATCTATTTTTTCTTTCTTTTCTATTTCTGCTTTGTCTTTTATTTTCGTCTTCTATCTCTTCTCTCTTTCCTGCTGCAGTGTTAGCAGATTCGGTTTTTCTTTTCTGTTGTTTTCTTTTTTTGGACTCTTGTTTTTGTTATTTTGGTGTTTTTCTGTGTGTGTTTGTTTTCAATTTTTGCTCTTGTCTTTGTTTTATCCTTTCTCTCTTCTCTTCTCCCTCTCCTTCCGCTCACAAGCCACTACTGGCCTTCAGGCCACTCCCCTCTACCTAGGGCAACTCTTGACGGCCCAGCTGGGGGAGCTCCCGCCGGCAATTGTTGGCTTTACATGTAGCTGGGGAAATCATGCCCGCCCTCCACAAAATCCCAAGTGGCTGGTCTTCAAACGGCTGGGGGAACATCCACCCACACCCCAAGGCCCTGCAAGTGACTAGGGAAACTCCTGCCTGCTAGTTGTGGTGCTCCACGCTCCTGCAGGAACATTTGTCCAACCTCCATGGTGACCTCTCTGACTAGGGTAATTCCGCCTGCCATCCAGGGCTCTACACCAAGGAGGGCACACCCACCCGCCCTAAGAGGCACTCCCTTTACAGAGGGAATCACCACATGCCATCGGAGGTGCTCCAAGCCCCAAGAGACACACCACTACGGCTTCCTGGGAGATCAGCTAGTGAAAGGCCATCCTTGTGGGTCCACAACCACCCTACCAGTGTCTCGTGAAAGGACTATCCAACTCACATTCCAATAACAATACTGGTTGGCTAGGGAGTGAACTCACAGGAAGCAACAGCAGTAGCCTGACCCCCCCCCCGCCCCCCCCAGTACAGCTACCTGCAGGTAGTTGAAAGAAGCACTCATACGAGTCCAAGAGAGCCCAGTGCTCTTTGACGCTGGAAGATCACACCAGGCCCCTCTAAAACAACATGTAAACAGTAACCAGCCCCAACAGTCTTAATGAAAAAGCAGAAGAAACAGAAGACAATGCCAGAAGTAGTCATTAACTTAGCGATCGATATACACAGAAGAGCAGACATTGACCTGCAACAGAAATTTCCAGAAGGCTGCTTAAAGTCAAATGTAGGATGAGGGAAGCAATACCAAAAAAGGCTGAAATTAAAGGAGGTAGAGGCAACGCACCAAAGAGAAATACAAGACCTAAGGGATTAAATAACAAAATCCAGTAGCAAATGAACAGACTTTGCCAACAAACTTGAGGAGGCAGAGAACTACACCAGTGACCTAGAGGATAACAAGGCAGACTTCAACAAACAGGCAAACGCAGTCAAGTAAGACAGAGAAACGGAAGAAAACCCGAGAGCCATGCCTGATGGTGTGAAGAGGAAGACATGAGAATAACTGGACTACCAGAACAAGACACGACAAAGAAGTCAACAAGGAAAATAGCAAGGGGTACTCGAGGAAAACCTTCCCAGTTTAATAAATGGAAATCAGGCAACCATTCAGGAAGCCGAGAGAACACCAGCCAGACAGAATCCCAAGAAGTCAACCACAAAATGGATGGATGTATGGATTGTGATGAGTTGTACATGCCCCTAATAAAAGGATTTAAAAAAAAGAGTCCTTGAGACACTTAATAGTTAAATTATCCAACTATGAGAAAAAGGAGAAAATCCTAAGAGCAGCTAGGGAAAAACAAATAGTCACTTATAGAGGTACCCAAATAAGAATATGTTCAGACCTATCAGCAGATACGCAGAGGAGGGAGTGGAGTAACATATTCCAAAATTTGAAGGAAAATAACGCAAACCCAAGAATACTATACCCGGCCAAATGATCTATTAAGATAGATGGAGAACCAAGAGTCTTCTCAGACAAGGAAAAACTCAAAGAACACACAAAAAGAAACCCAGCCCTAAAAAGATCCTTGTTGACCCAGGATGGGCAGAAGATGAACCAACACGAAGCGCAAATAAGAGACCGTGACACTGTACAACTCCACTCAAAGGGCGACACAGAGAAAAGAGCCCCCAAGACAGCGTTAGCTCAATAGTGGTCAGAAGACCAGAGTGAACCACACACACAACACAAACTGATGAGATAGGCTGGTAGGAAAACACCCAACAAAAAGATACACCATGACATCACAAGGTCCACAGGTAACACTGAGTATCAGTGGACTGAACTCAGGAATTAAAAGGCGGAGGCTAACAGAAAGCAACCCATCGATGTGCTGCGTACAGGAGACACATCTCAAGCTTGCAGACAAAAACCGGTTGAGAAGTAACGGCTGGAGAGAAATATAACAAGCAAATGGCAATGCATACAAAGCAGGGGTAGCAATCCTAACTGAATAACTGACAAAATTGCTCCAGGTACAGCCATCACGAGACAAAGAGGGGCATTATATACTTCTCAAGGGACGGGAGACCAAGGACCAGTGAGCATAATAAATATATACCTGACCAACGAGAGACCTGTGAAATTGATAAAGTAAACACTCCAAAAGATGGAAAAAAATCACAGGCGCAACAATTGTAGTAGGTGACTTTAATACACCACTCTCAGGAAATGGCAGATCACAGGGAAAGAAACTTAACAAGGAGGCTACAGATCTAAACAGTACAACTGGATGACCTGACCTGATATCTTCACAGCTTTCCACCCAAATGCCCAAATGGCACATACTCAAAGGTAAACCACATGCTGGGACCCAAGTCCAACCAGAGTAAATTTTAGCACATACAGATCCACGGCTAGTGGACAGATCCACGGCTAGTGGATCTGTAGGTACGTACAGACATTATGGAAATCGATTTGGTGATATCTATAACAGATGGAAATTGAGCTACCATAAGACCCAGAAATCTCCTACTGGGCATATACCCAGAAGAGGCAAGATACAAACCACAGCCAGACGTCTGTGCTCCAATGTTCATCACGGCACAGTTCACAAATACACGGAGTTGGAAACAAGCCAAATTTTGATCCATTTCCATCAACACGAATGGATCAAACAGCTGTGGTACATGCATACAATGGAGTACTGTGCATCCCTAAAAAGCAGTTACGAATGCATGAAGCACATTGCCACATGGGAAGAAGTGGAGGAAATCATGCTAAGTGAAGTAAACCATGCACAAAAGGGCATTAGTCCACTGAGGTAAGCTTTAAAAAAAAAACAAAAAAACAGTGCGTAGGGGAAAATCTACTATATACATACATCCTTGGGGTGAAGTCTAGCAGGGGTATGGCAGGGGCCAAACGCAATCCAGGGATACATTCGGCAACCAACTAATAAGAGGGGGAAATAAAAAGACATGGGTAGAGGAGGAGCAGGGCACTAACTCACCCAAGAGGAGGGGACTGTTTATATCTCCACAGGAGAGGGAGAGACCGGGCTTCAACCTGATGCGCCAAGAGGTGAATGCAACATACCGGCATGTACCAAGGACCAATGAAGAGGTCTGCAGTACTGGCCCCAGTCCCAACTATGTGGACACCCTCCAGCCCCTCCCCTCCTGAGAAGAATGCACTTCAGAGGACAGAACTGGGGCTACAGCTTGGGGAAAGGGGTGCATCTGATTAGAGCGCATGGGAGAAACAAAAAGGGATGGAAAGGGAGGGGAGCACACCCTGGCCCACCAAGCCCTGAGGATGATATTCCTGCTCGGAGAAGACAACGCACAGAGAGGACCATATAGGCCCAGCCCCACCACGAGACATGACACCCTCACTAAACCGTAGCACTGTGGGGGACAATACTGGAGACACGGATGGGAACTGCACAATCAGACCCCATCACGCTGGGGTGAAACACAAAGGGCAGGCTAGGGGAGCAAAGTGATTAAATGCCCAGGGAATACCAAAAAGAGACTTTGGAGACAGAGTGTGGCACCCCATCAGACTCAAGTGGGAAACATTCGTAAAGGCCAGAAAACAGACCTTGAGCTATTTATAGGCCTTTCCATGTTTGTCAGTGGCTTTCTGTTTGTTATTGTTATTGCTTTGTTGGTCTTGACTTTGTTATTTTATTTGGCTTTGCCAGGTTTTTGCATTTATTAATGTAGCTGCATGTCTTTCTACATAAGATAGGCGGGATGATAATTGAGAGATGAAGAGAACAGGACCAATGGTTCTGGGGGGATATGGGAAAAGGGGAGGTGGGAGAAAGGAAGGGGGTGGGGGTGGGAAATCAAGCCAGGGACAAGAGAACAACAAGTGAACTAAAATCAATGGAGAGAAGGGTGTAGGATGCCTAGTGGGGCTTAATCAAGGGCAATGTAGCAGCGAGGAATTACTAAACCCGAATGAAGGCTGAACATGATGGTGGGACAAGAGGAACGTAAAAGGAAATAGAGGAAAGAACCAGGAGGCAAAGGATATTTATAGAGGTCTAAATACAGGCATATGTACATATGTTAATATATATATAATGAGAGAGGAATAGAACTATGTACTCATATCTATATGTTAAGAATTAAGGTTGCAGATGGACATTGGGCCGCGACTCGAGTACTCCCTCAACACAAGAACACTTTCTAACAATCCAGCATTCTGTGATGCTCACCTTCCCGACACAATCGCTGAAGACAAAATGGGTACATAAGCAAATGTGGTGAAGAAAGCTGATGGTGCCCGGCTATTGAAAGATACAGTGTCTGGGGTCTTGAAGGCTTGAAGATAAACAACCAGCCATCCAGCTGAGAAGCAACAAAGCCCACATAGAAGAAGCACACCAGCCTGTGTATCATGAGGTGTCGATGGGATCAGGTACCAGGCATCTAAGACCCAGAACAAAATCATACTCAATGTGAAGGGTGGGGGGCATGGAGTGGAGACCCAATGCCATCTGTAGACAATTGGACATCCCCTCACAGAGGGGTCACAGGGAAGAGCTGAGCCAGTCAGGGTGCAGTATAGCACCGATGAAACACACAACTTTCCTCTAGTTCTTTGGTGCTTCCTTCCCCTCACTATCATGACCTCAATTCTACCTTACAAATCGGATTAGACCAGAACATGCACACCGCTACAGATAAGAGCCCGCAACACAGGGAATCCAGGATAGATAAACCCCTCAGGGCCAACAATGAGAGTAGAGATACCAGAAGGATTAGGGGAGGGTGTGGGGAGAAAGTGGGAATCGATCCTAAGGATCAACCTATAACCCCCACTCAGGGAGATAAACAATGGAAAAGTGGATCAGGGGTAATAGAAGATGATGTAAGATATGAAAATAATAACCTGTAACATATCAAGGGTTCATGAGGGAGCGTGGGTTGGGGAGGGAGGGGGAAGAAATGGGGAGATGATATCGGGCTCAAGTGGGAAGAGAATGCTTTGAAAAGGATGATGGCAGCATATGTGTAAATGAATGTGCTTAACACACTGGGTGAATGTATGGATTGTGATAAGTGATGTAAGAGCACCAAATAAACGTATTTAATTTTTAAAAAAGCTACATTAGTTCATTTTGTTGACTTGGGTGCTGATTAGGAGTGTAAATTCTAGTTCCATATACCTGGGATGGAAATGAAAATTTTCCGCCAGGGGTTCAACCAGTCTGAAGCCCTTAGTTTGGAACCTCACACTTGTTTGATGTGTCATGCTGCCCGCCCCACCATGTTCACGTCTGAAAAGCCTTGGTCTTTTGAAAACCTGCTTCAACATTACCTGGCAATCTGCCTGCCGCCAGGGCATCTCCTGGTAAATGTCCATTCACACCATTCGTGGAAGGGTTGTTCATCTGGCCCAGCAATCCACTTCTCATCTCTAAATCTGTCGGGTATGGTCTCCGTGGGTCCCCTAAAAGAATCATGACTCCTTAAAATTCTGTTATATACAAGCAAGCATAATGTCATCTTCGAAATATTACATCTCCATGATGCACGTTGAAAAAAAAAATCAAGCTACATTTTCAATTTTGGAATATAGAGCTAATTTTATCAAGTTTTATCCAGAGCATAAGATATTAATTTATAAAAATATATGCCTTATTTCTTTTCTGAGTGCTCATTAAGAAAATTATAATGATCTTGATTCTTTTAACTGCATTTTCTGAGTAAAATATAATGATGCTTTGAAGGAATATAGGAGATAGGAAAAAATGGAATACTTATCAGAAGGGTTATCTAAATGAACACCTTTTTCTAACAACCACCTTAATCTGTCATGGAGAGATTAATTTCTGTAACTTTCCAGTGGAGTACTGGGAGCCAGTAATATTCACGTTTAATAATGAGTGGGAAAAAAAATTGAAATAGCATTTTTGGCCTGATTAAAACATGGTCAGTTTTAGATCCACTCTTTGGTAATATTTCTCGCTATCACTTAATTATCTGCAGATATTCCAGCAAAACAAACAAAAAGAAACAGCAAATCTGTTGCCCACTGTTGGCCCAAAAGAGGTGTTTAATGAAAACTCACAACTCGCAAATTAATAAAACAAGTGTTATTACAGTACCTCAACAAAATGAAACCCAAAAAGTCACATAAATCTAAAAAACTAGATTTAGGAATGCAAGAGCATGACCATTTCCAGAGGAATGGTGGGCCATTATGATTTCCAATTTGACTTTTGCTTCTTTTTCTAATGTACAGTAGAGCTAATGTTGGCCTTCTGTAACATACAGTAGTGGTAATGATAACCCAGCCACAGAAAATGAACTGAGTACACAACTATGACGCCTTCTCCAGCTGCCACCAAGATACAGTAGTGACTTCCCTCTCCCTGAGAGAACAAACATGTCGCTGGTGTCCCTATTTCCCTGGTCTAGGAGGGGTTTCTTATTCAAGGGAACGTCACAACCACATTTTAGTCACATCCGCAACAGTTTTCCTCCAACAGAAGCACTGTTGGTCCTGCACACCATGTTATCTGGTTTAGTGGGTTCAGCATTTCTTACCCCCTTAGAAAATAATTTTCACTCTTCTCATGCAGAGCAAAGAGTGAAGAAAATCAAAGACCCAAGGATAAAACTAGTCCAAAACACCACACAAAGCACAACACCTGCTTCCCTGAGGGCAGAACAACCGATGTCGCCCAGCTTCCACTCCTGACTGTTCTCACCCAGATCACAACAGTCTCCTAGACAGAGGGAGTAAATGTAGAAGCAAACTAGCCTTACTGGTCTGGCAAGAGACTGGTGGAACTCCCATGACTATGGCTCTGAGACACCCTTCAAACCTGGAACTGAACCCACAACCAGAGATTACCTGTGAGGAACATGCCTTTCAGAACATGCCAACCATATGAGACCAAATGGGTAGCATTGCTCCAGAACCAAAGTTCAAATGGCAGAAAGGGGCAGGAAAGATCGGCAACTAGAAATGGAGAACTCAAGGAAGTGGGTGCAGTGCTGTTAGACTGAGGGGATTGCAAGTAATATCATGACACAAAATGGGTATAAACTTCTATACAGGAAACTAATTTGTTCTAGCCTGTTAGGAATGTCTTTGAATATCCACTTTTATACTGAAAGCACAGATTAGATTCACTGCTATCCAGTTTCCTCCAACTCACAGTGACCCTGTAGGACAAGGTAAAACTGTTCCTGGGAGTTTCCTGGACTATAACTCTTCACAAGAGTAGAAAGCTTTCTCTTCTCCTGCAGAGCAGCTGGTGGTTTCGAACAGAGAACCTTGCAGTTAGCAGGCCAATGCATCACCCCCTACATCAACAGAGCGCCACTGCTAGATTAGACTAGTCATCTGAAAACTTTTAATTGGAATAAGAGACATTTATTTACCCAACTCACATAACCAAATACCTGAAAAACGGACTGTCAAGGGCATCCCTACCCAATTATGGTGCTACTCACTTTGAAGAACCCATTTTCAATGTACCTGCTACAATGGCTCAAAATCTTAAGAAACTCTTCCTAAGGTAGTATCATATCATAAAATAACTGTTGATTACCTTCAAGTCCCACAAGGAAAGTTCCTATTATTGCTAGTACGTCTAGCTGCACTAAGAGGAGAACTGGATGTCAGAAAATTGTGCAGAACACTACTTGGTAGCAACCACGACGTCCTGTGTCTGCTTCTCTCCCTTTAGGTATTTTCAATCGGTTACCCTGTGGCATTGGTTGCTGTGTGCATTCTACTGCAGACGGAATTGATCATTTTGATTACTAGAATAATGTCTCCCCTTTAGGTATCTTCAATCGGTTACCCTATGGCATTGGTTGTTGTGTGCATTCTACTGCAGACGGAATTGATCACTTTGATTACTAGAATAATGATTATGTTGTTGTTAAGTGACACTGATTGAGTCCTGACCAATAGCAACCCTCTGCACAACAGAAACTACCCAGGCCTGCACCATCCGCACAAAGGTTCTTGTGCCTGATCCATTATTAAAGCCATGTGTGAGACAGTCTCATTGAGGACCTTCCACTCCATCACTGCCCCTCTACTTTACCAAGCATGTCTTCTCCGGGAACTAGTGATCTCCTGATACTATGCCCAAAGTACGTAAATTAATCTTGCTTCTACAGAGCACGCTGGCCTGCTTTCAGCAGCCCAGGGTAAGAACTTTCACTCTTCTTCAGCAGCACTGTAATTCGAAAGCACTGATTCTTCTTGTCTTCCTTATTCAATGTCCAACTAATGATGCGATGGAGAATCCCATGGTGGGGTCAGGCGCACCTTCGTCCTCAAAGGAACATCTTGGCTTTTCAGTTCTCTAACGAGGTCTTGTGCAGCACTGTACTACAGCCTTTGATCCCGTGACTGCTGCTCCCATGAGCACTGACTGGATCCAAGAAAGACAAAATCCTCGAAAACGATCTTTTCTCCGTGTAGCATGATGCTACCCACTGGCCCAGTTGGGAGGATTTTGGTCTTCTTCCTATTGAGTCCTAATCCATCCTGGAGGCTGCAATCCTTGATCTCCATCAGCAAGTGCTTCAAGTTCTCACTCTGCGCAAGCACGATTCTGTCACCTGCACACTGCAGGTTGCCAGTCACCCTTCCTCCAATCCTGATGCCGCCTGCGGCTTCCCGTGAGCCAGCTTTTCTGACGATCTGCTCAGCACGGGCTGAAGAAGCATGGTGAGCGGGTCCCTTTCTTGATCTTAAACCGTGCGGTGTTCCTTTGTTCTTGCACAACTGTCTCCTGACCCGTGACTATTACACGACCAGTTCAAAGTTCTGTCTAATGCATGTCACCACAATCTGACACACATTGCTATGCAGAGAATTGTCTTGATGAGATCTATAGTATGTAGTAACCAGCTTAACCGATCCTTTCTGCGAGTTCAAGATAGCATGTGACCAAAATTAAAAACAAAAACCAGTACGACGTATGTGACCAACAGATAATGGAAAAATGGTCACACTAGACTTTGTAGAAAACACACCAGACATTCTAGAAACAGAAGTCCTGGTGGGCGAGGCATCGGACTACTAATCACAGGCGACCGGTGGTTCCACCTGATGCCCAACGACGCTCTGGGTACTTTCACAGGGCACGGCTTCAAAGCAAGCTGGCACACTCAATTAAATTCATTTCTTTTCTGCTTCTAACAGAAACAGTTTGTTAACATTAACTGTTTGAAAAGTGAAATGAGGTAACTAGTGGCAATGGCTTTGTAGAAAACCAAATTTATAAAACTCATGGTCTACACTATTACTCATAATAATGTGTCGTAGTAGTCTATAGTAGATGTTTCCAAAGATAAGTAATTCACCGTATATACTCGTGTACAAGCCGAGTTTTTCAGCACATTTTTAATGCAGTTTTTGTGGTAAAATTAGGTGCCTTGGCTGATAGTTGGGTCAGCTTATATTCAAGTATATCCAGTATTTCCTATTGTTGAATACAGTCTCCTAAGAATGATCAAAACCACACATACTAGAATAAAACAGAAGTATTGTTACCTGGAACCCAGGTCAGTGGGGCACACACTGCATTACTTGCACTAATCCTATGTGCATATTTAATGATTTCTTCAGATGAGATAGCACCTGAGGAAGTAGAAAGTAAAATTACAGTTTAGTACAGCAAACATTCATGTTTGTAAGTGTTTATATCATATTACATAACTTTTAAACTACCTAAAAATAAGATAATCAATGGAAAAAAGAGCAGATAGATCAATAGCAGGGGCCTAACATAGCTTTACGTAGACATCAGTAGAAAGACAAAACAGTCATTAGATGAAAAATGGTAAATTTAAATACATGTAATTGCATTGTTATATATAATGATAAAGCTAGAATAAATCTGCAAGGACACACACCAAATATTAACAGTAGTTTATCTCTGAGAAATGAGAACAGCTCTCACTTTATAAACTTTAGAGGTGGCTTCAATGGAACAAAGCAATGTATACATATGTGCCTGTATAAACTTTTGAAGGCTAAAAACAAAGCAGAACAAGGGTAAGTTTGCTTAGTAACCACTCATGAAAATTTGTTTCCTGCCACCGAAGCCAAGCCATCTTCCAGGGGAACATTAGCTGTTTCTTAGTATAAAACAATCAAAAAGCAGGTTGTCAAAGAAACGTAAGGCCTGGTGTTGCAGGCTTAGCATTAGATTGCTAACTGCAATGTCAGTGGTTCAACCCCATTGAAACTGTCTATCCCCATCAATAGTGGTCTTAGAAAATTCGACACAGGGACACTGGGAGTTGGAAGATACTCGAGGGAGAAACCACGACAGGTCAAGTGAGATAGTAAGTCCAAGATGATTTTATGTAAATTATATTTATGAATTATTAAGAGCGATGAATCAGTTTTAATTATAACTTGGACTTTGATATAAAAATGCAAAGGTCTGCAATAGGTACCTTTATTTAGAGCATAATAGGACAGCTGGATTGGAAGGCACACTGGGCTCTGTACCAGGAATTGTGCATACATCCTAAGCTATACAGATACTCAGACATTACGATGTTCTAGTGCCACTGTAGTTGTCCAATGGATGCTTTTCTTCTGTCTGCCGTCTTTCAACATGCAGCTTAAATCCCACTTGTTTCCCCGGCTTTTACTTTTCTTTCCCTTCTAATATTAACTTGATAATTTAAAAATAATTATTGTACATAGCCATAACCTGCTTTCTATTATTGCTTCTTATATTCTAGGAAAGGATGTGATACTTCTACCTCCTGAATAATCCCTAGCAGTGCTAAACATAGTCGTGGCGGCTAGGGGTAATCGAATCCCAGCAGCCCCATAAAAAAGTTGCCATCTTCACAACTGCTATGTCTGCGCCCACTGTGGCAGCCACTGTGGCAGCCCTTCTGGTTGAGGCTTCCTCTATTCCACGAACCTCCACCAAGCCCGATGCCCTTCTCCAGGCGCACTCCCTTCCTGGGGAGCACTCTGGAGAGTCGCGATCTCCAGTAACACGCACATCAGGTTACTGCAACCAAACTCTAGTTTTTCAAGCTGGCCAGTTGTCCTGTGATACTGACCTTTTCTCGCCTTTTCTATTGATTTGAGTTTTTCTTTCGCTTGGTAAACAGCTGTTGCCTAATTTAAACATTAAGAAGAAACACGGTTTATTCTTTTGAGGTTCTGACCTAATCCATTTAATAATCTACACCACAGGAACAACATAAAACTGTGAACCCCCATACTTTATTTGAAATGTTTTGAAATACTACTGGATACGATTATTTATCATAGTTGCAGTTAATCACAGAAATATATTCATAGAATCAGTCTTCATTTACAAATCAGTTGTAAAAAATATATACATAATAAAATAAATAAATAAATCAGTTGTTAGAAACAATGAGAAGTATAATTTGGTGTATATGATAACATTTGTTCTTTGTCTTCTATTATAAATGTGCAGACAAGTGCTAGACTATATACCATTCCAAAATAATTCCATTCCTGCACTTGCTTCCAAAGTTTGAGACAATGGATAGAATAAAATACCGTAAGTTATCCTCCAGCCTCCCAATTTAAAAGATATATTCTTGGACAGATATTCATTTAGACATTATACTTGATGTAATGAAAGCTATAGGGAAAATATTACCTTATCCTCCACCCCCACCCAATACTCTCACACACAAGAGGGTTAAAAAAACTAATAAAGTACATGAACACCCTCAATTACTATACTGCAGTTAAGAATGCAAAGCCAGAGATACCTACTGTATATACTCGAGTATAAGTCGACCTGAATATCAGCCAAGGCACCTAAGTTTACCATAAAAACGGCATTTAAAAAATGTGCTGAAAAACTTGGCTTATACACAAGTATATATGGTAGGTTTAAATTCTATCTCCACTTTTTAGCCCCTATGGGCAAGTTCATCATGTATTTTAAGTCTTAACTTTAGCATCATAAAATGGTTAATGGCACTTAGGTCATTGCTATGAAGATTAAGGCAACACATTTATTTATTAGAAATCATTTTATTGGGGGCTTGTATAACTCTTATCACAATCCATATATATATATATCCATTGTGTCAATCGCATTTGTACATTTGTTGCCCTCATTATTCTCAAAACATTTGCTTTCCACTTGAGCCCCTGACACATTAAAAGTGAAAAGCACAAGGCTTAGTATACGAACATTCAATAGATGTTGGCTGCTATCATTTACATAATGAAATTATCTCTTATTAAGGACTTTATGTCCATTTCCGTTGACTGGGTAATTTTAAATTCCCCCTTAACTCTGTGAAGCCCTCGTATACTTGTTTTTTTAGTACAGGGAGTTCATTTACTTTGAGCTGCTCAGGCTTCTTCCTACTCACCCCCACCCCCAGCCCATTTTAACACCGCCTCAAAGATGTTCACTGGGGTAGGATGCAGCCATGTCTGGCCTGTGATAACCAAACCAGCTGTTCCTGCATTATCACCACACAGTAATTAGCTGAGTAAGTAGTAAAAAGGCTGGGCAGATAATGACGAATAAATTGTCTATTTGAAACAGCAGCACAACAACAACAGAAAAATGGTCTCTCCCATCTCTCCAACTCTCACTTTGCTTCGGATGGAAGAGTAAATATATTAGTGTGAATTTTAATCAATTTACAACTACTACATATTTTAATTAATTTCAAAGTACTTTTGTAAGATGGAAAATAGCCTTTTATTAACAGAAATATATGAAACCAAAATATGAAATAAAACCCCCCATTTTTGTAATTAGAGTTAAATATTCATTGGTAATTGTGCTTCAAACGTGGTGCTTAGTTTAGGCAGACGAACTTAAAACAAATTTAGGGGGAAAAGGAAAAGAATACACAATGCCTGGTTGCCATTTTTAGATTTAGAAAGTGCAAGTTTTCTCCTATTTCAAAAGGCTAACCTCAGATCTATTTTTCAGAAACAAACGAAATGCCCGTTTCCACCTTAAGAACGTATGAGCCTCTATCAACTTACTAGTATCTGCTCTGCCTCCTTTAGCTGTTTCTGTAGTTGCTGAATATCGTTGTCTCTCTTCTCGACTTCTTTCTCTAAAACTTGCATTTCGTGATGGATTTTTCCCTGATTAAGTGCCAATTTCATTAGTTCTTGAAATTCCCCATCTCTGTGAATTAACAACTCCAGGATCTGTCAAATATTTGAACAAATCAGGCAACAGAACATTCAAAGGGCTACACTTGTCTTTTTCCCCACACACCAAAAAAACCCTAAAGTTAACATCATTATACATATTTAGGGCCATATCTGACCTTTTCCCTATGAAGATTAATTCCTAAGGAATAAACGTACCCCAACATTTCTCCATTGACAGTCTATCATATTCTCTGCCTAAGAACTATACCACAGGTAAAACTAGCGAGGTATGGGATCGGGCCTGGGACCAGTAGTTTATCAGATCCTGTCCTACCTTTTTTCAATCTTGTGTCTTCTTTGAAGAGCTGCGTTTATGAGAGCATTTGGTTTTTTGTCCTATAGTTTTAATTTCCATTTAATAAGCTTTTGTTGAGTTCAGAAGACAAACATCAATAAATATATAACCCACAAAAGAAAATACTGCTAAACCTTTACAGTTAATTAATAATTTGGGAAGTTCTCAAACTTCCTTTTCTAAAGTAAGCAGAAAGTTTACATAGTTATGTTTTATTTTTAACTTCTTTTTGTTATTGTTTAGATTTTATATCATAATAATAAACTCTGCTTTCCAGCTGGACTTGGGGGGCATAAGTAGGAACCCCCAAGAACTGGAGTGGGAGCACAAGATGGAGCGACACTGCAACACACGGGGAATGGAAGGGTGACTTCCAAAGCTACACAGCACAGTCTGGTGCTTAAGCTAAAACATGGAAACCCAGATCTAATTATTAGAGTTGTCCACAGGCATCAATGGTGAGCCTCTTGCTGGTCTCGCCATTCCTGGACCCAAAACGCCCTGTGGCTTCCACAGTGCTCGTGCCTTTCTCCACCCAACCAAAGACCACGTGCTTCCATCCAACCATTCGTCTGAGCGGGCAGCTAAAACACGGGACCGTTCATATCGGGCCCGCATGTGCCCTGGACAGGATGTCAGGATGAAGTTCTCATCCTCACATTTCTCTCCGTGGATGGACTTGCCACCAGTGCAGTGATGGCGTGTGAAGGCCCGCCCCGGCACATAAGCCCTGGAAGGATTCTGTGAGAGCAGGAGCCTTTATCACCAAAGCCTTTCTCCCCGGTGCTCAGTGCGCCGCCAAGTTTCTTGCGGTCTTTGGACCTTTGTCTGCAAACAGATTTTGAGAGACGCGGCCAAGAGGCTCGCTGCTGACAGTTAGGTCGAAAAACACAGTAGGGTTGACCATGGCTGGATGCAAAAGGGCCAGACAAGACTACACATTCAGGTGGTGGAGTCTGCAAAGTGGGCTGTTTTTAATTTCTTAAGAAACAATTTACCTGGTTTTCCTCTCCAGGCTGTAATAGCTTCTGGTTTCTTGAAATAGCCAGCATTTCTATAAGTTCCCTAAAAAAACACAACACAAAAGAAACTACTTTTACAAATACAGTACAAGTAGTTCACGAGGAACGAATGAATATGACTTACAAACAACCTATAGTTACATACCAAACTCTATTCAACCCATTAAAAATTCAAGATATAAACATGGATTTGCAATAGCAAATGGGTGGTACTTTGCATCAAGAACATCAAAACATTATTATTACTGTATTATTATGTTACCTATATACTCAATGATAAACCGACCAGAATATCAGCCAAGGCACCTAATTTTAGCACCAAGAACTGCATTAAAAAAATGCGCTCACATCCTGGCCCACCAGGCTTTGAGGACTGATGTACCCGATTACAGCAGCCAGTCCACAGAGAGGACCACATGGCCTGCCCCACTATGAGACATGGTCCCTCACTGACCCGGGAATTGCGCCCGATTTGATCCCGCCACACTGAGGCAAAACACCAAGGGGGTGCAACAGAACAGTAAGGGAACGGAGTGGCGAGGTCCCCAGGGAATGCTGAAGGGGCCAGGCCCCAACAGACTGGAAAACACTCCTAAAGGCCAACGAACAGTCCTTAAACTTTTCTTTCTTGTTGTGTTTTGTTTTGCTTTTTGTCATTGGTTTGTTGTTGTTGTTGCTTTGTTGTATATTGTTGCTTGGTTTTGCTCTGTCTTGTTTTTGTGCATGTTATTATCTCCGGAAGTGTGTCTAAATAAGATAGGCTGCATGAACAATCTGGAGGAGAAAACAACGGGAC